CATTCCACCTAAAAAATAGCAGAAAGGTTTTCCTTTGGCTGGGAGTGAAGACATTTCCCTCTGGGCAAACTTTGGTTACAGGGTCATTGTTGCAAGTGTCATCTCCAGTTGTCACTAGTTTTTCTCTTTCGACATTACCTGTCTTTAGTGATAGGCTAGGGTACTTCAAAAAGGAGACCCAGGGAACATCATGGTGGGATGATACTTCATGATACTTCATGAAGCCAGAAGACAGCTCAGGCAGTGTTAGCCATCAGTAAATAGGGGGCTCCTATCTAGTTTCCTTTTATCCTTAAAAACTCAAGTTAAATATCACCACCCATAGCATCTCCTGTCAGTAGCAGTCATTGTTCCAACTTTTTTTGTTTTGCACTTTCCCTATTACTCTGAATATCCATTCATTCCAGCATTTAAGACATTTCCTTGAGCTGAGTGCATTGGCGCATGCCTGTAATCCCAGCAGCTCTGAGGCAGGAGCATTGTGAGTTCAAAGCCAGCCCTAGCAATTTAGTGAGGACCTAAGCAACTTAGTAAGATACTATCTCAAAATGAAAAATAAAAATCAAAAAAGGACTGGGGATGTGGTTTAATGGTTGAGTGCCCCTGGGTTCAATCCCTAGTACCAAAACAAAAACAAACAAACAAACAAAAAAAGACATTTCTTTGGAATTATTTGTTTATATGTCCATCTCCTTCACCAAACCATTAACACCTCAGAACAATGATTTCTAGTCTTGGACCTGAGAAGTGTCCCAAGTTATAATGAGGACCAGTCTTATGGCTAACACACTCTGATGGGCATGAAGAGAACGTGCAAAATCACACTGTTGCATGATTGTCTGTGGCATGTCTTCTATTACAACCTTTCCTGCTCTTCTGTTGTCTCCTAAAATCAGCAATATAGATACTTATAATTTTCTGAGCATGCCATATTATTTCTTTCATCTCTCTGCCTTTCAATTTTTAAATTTCCACACCATGCACTCTGGAGAGGGAAGGGCTAGCAAACCTGTTTTTAGTCTCAGTTCATGTATCCTCTTCTTCAAGAAAATCATGACATCAGTCTCCATTCTCCCTTCTCCTGAAATGGAACTGGATGTCCTTCCATACTGCTCCCACAGTGTCCTTTCTTGTAGCTGACTGGCCAGTTTAATCTGTACTCTCCATTTCTTCTAGAAAATAAAAAGAAAGAAAGAAAAGAAAAAGAAATCATGAAGGTCCACAACAAATTGAATGTCCTTCAACAGCAAGATGCACTGTAAAGTCTACACCCTTCAGCACCTAAGTGGGATGCTTGCTGACATCCATTGTTTGTTCTTTAACTTATGTATGCCCCACTACTTGTTAGTGTAGTAAGGAACTGAATTAGATGTAACTTAAATGAATAATATGTGAGTGGTAAAAGAGTTGTATTTTTTATAAAAACAGATAGATGTTTTAGAAAGATAAACTTCTCAAAATTGTACTGTTGGATTAGTCACAGGCATGACTACAAAGATGGAATAAGGAAAGTAGTGATCTTGAAGGAATCAAGATAGTTGTTTCTCTGATTGTTTCTTAAGTGCCCTTAATGTCTAACTTTTTAAAATCCCCAGCTGGAAAATGGTTAAAGCTAGCTAATGAAAGTGGATTGTGGAACTCCCATCAGTAGACCCATACCATGATAGAAGCCATATCAAAATATTAGTAAAGTATATATGTGATGTCAAAATAAAATGTCTAAGGCATGCATTTATCATTTTTACCTTTGCCAATTATCCATTATATTAAAATTACGAGGTTAGGGGGAGTCTGTTTCCTTCAAATAGATTGTGAGTTTCTTGAAGACAGGGACAATGGCTTGCTCTTATTTGTTACATAATGCTTGTGCTGAGAGGACTTTCACTAAGTGCATTCTTACCCAGTGGAATGCTGCACGTTTTGTAACAGGGAGTTTCAACATTTAGGTCTCTTTTAGCATTTAAGCATTACAGCCACTAGGGGGGAATATAGTTGCATTCCTTTGTGATGACCATCCAGGGGAGGTTCTTCCTTGCTGGATCCACGAAAATGGGATGAGACCTTCTAAAAGGCTTAGGAACCTGTGTCATAGATATCTCACCAACAGTAACATTCTTTATATATGTTTCCTCTGTTGGCCAATTCCAACTCCTCTAAACAATAAAAGGATCAACTGGTAAGCATCACCTTATTAACATACTCAAGCCCAACCAGTTTCTGGAAAGAAGAAATAAGGAGAAAGCCCAGCCCTCATGTGAGTGTTGTGAGTAATATCAAGGATTATATATATTGGTATAATGTAGTCTACCGTGTTTTACAGGGGAGTCTTGGAGGAAACATTAATGAGGAAGCTATGGAGAATGTGTCCATTTGAATGAACAAACCTTGACCCTTCCTCCCATTTCCTGAATGAATCTTCTCCACTTCTTGTGTGCCAGAGTCATAAACTCCCTAAATTAGGCTTCTCTAGTTGCTCATATCTGTTCAGCAGGAAGGCTTTCTCATAGGATCAAGAAGACAGATGAAAAAGAATTCAAGACATTGCCTTTAGGAAGAAAGACCCTAGGAAAGTAAGGTTTTTATTTATTTATTTTTCAACTTTTTAGTAAGTTGCCATGCTGAATTATGACTAAACTGTGACACTAAAGGGTCATAAAGAACACAGCTCAAATACAAGACGGCTAAGTCCTCCAATTTCACATGCCTTTGGAACAGTTTTTTAAAAAGAAAGAAAAAGTTTTTCCAAAGTATTATTTGAAAACTAACTAAATTGAAAACAAGATAAACATTCTGGTTTACAGTTATCATGGGGTCTTGAAATAATTAACCTAGAAGATGAGTAATTCAGTGGTCATAGCATTTGGGGAGTCTGCTGACCTGGGTTTGAGTCTCGGCCCTGCCTAGCCTAACTAGTGATCTGGTCAAATTATCTTCCTTCCCAGAACACAAGTTTTACATTGGATCTAAAAATCTTTCCCAGGTCATAATAATTATGTATTTCTTTTCCAGGAAGTAGCCCTTAGGGATTTACCCTTAACTTCTTTCTGTTTCAAGAACACAGCTCTTTTTTTTTTTTTTAGATGCAATATGAACTAAAACACAGTAATCATTCAAATTGCATGGTTTCTCAATCTACACTTAACTTACCTTCTCTTTAGGACAGAACTTGACAAGGTCCAGGATATGATTGGAACTAATACAAAAGGATTTTCCAGTGAAATAAAAACAGGATATTGCTGTTTAAACTTCAGATAAATTCAAAATGATCTAGTTTGTGTGCAGCACAGAAACTCAAAATCGGCATTTGCCTCCTAGATGCTTGCATTTGAAGGGAGTGGTTGCAGTTTACTCAAAATGAATAAAATAAGTAAGCTGACATCTCAAGACTACAGACATGCAGGGTGCCTTTTAAGATTTTTGACTCAAATTTATTTTTTTCCACCTTCCCATGGAGAAACGAAGTCAGTGAATACTCAGATCTTCAGATGCTGTCTGGAAAATTGGCAGTATTCAGAAATACAATTAGGTATAAAGGGAAATTTCCATCTTTCATTTCCTTAGAATATAACTTCTCCAGTTCTTTCACAGAAAGCAGATCAGAGTTAGAATGATTGTGACTCTTGTGTGTCTTCTTGGTTCTTTTTTTTTAATATTTATTTATTTTTTTAGTTTTTGGCGGACGCAACATCTTTGTTTGTATGTGGTACTGAGGATCGAACCCAGGCCGCCCTCATGCCAGGCGAGCGCGCTACTGCTTGAGCCACATCCCCAGCCCTCCTTGGTTCTTTTGAGGGCACTGTCATATTAATCTATTCGTGGCACCATGCAAGGAGTTAAGTATGAAACTAAGCGACTGCTCCCTTGGGGCAGTTTCTCTTCCTCCCCTCTGCTCCTACCTGACATTTGGGTCTTTTCAGAGTTGCTTCTCACTGATCTCTGAAAAAACCTTGGGGCCAGGAGCCTTCTCACTTTGTGCCTTTTTCTCCTTTACGGAGCCCATCCTAGTTGGGGGATGTACTGAAACAAGTCTCTGAACTACCACTGGCTATTGCCTGGAGCTGGACTAGTTTACCTAAATTTGTGAGTCGGGGTTGTGCCTCTGCTGGCCAGTCGGTACTGTCAGGATAGTATTGTGAGCTTAAATGGAATAAATGCATGTAAAACCCTTAGCATGGTGCATAGTGCACAAGTGATTCTTGAACCTCACGATTTTCTAATCATCTTGCTTGGTGCAACTGGTGTACAAAGTCTGCTCGGTGGGGGCTGACAGCCTGGTTTGAATCCTCTCGCTTGGAATATAATCTTGGCAAAATCTGAACGTTTCGATTGACTCATTTGTACAATAGAGAGAAAGTAGGACTTGCTGCCTAGGGCAGGGCCAGGATGGGGAAGGGTTCGGGGTTGGGGGGACTTGAGCACTACAGCAAAGCTCAGGGGAATGCCGAGTAAGGATCTCTCAATCTATAACGACTTTTAAGTGATGTATGTGAAGACAAATTGCACCTCAGGGCCCTGTGAGGACCGTGCCGGCGTGCCTCCCTGAGACTTCAAGCATCTCTGCCCTTATCCGAATAAATTCTTGGGTCCAGAAGGCCTGGATGGAGTCAGAGGTGGAGGACGCCCTGGAACCCTCTAGGTGTGCTGGGGGCGAGGACGAACTTGACCCGGGGTTGCGCACGGGGAGTGCCAGTCTACAGCTCGGATTGCAACATCTTGCCTCGGACCTGGGCTGGCAGAGCGCGCGCCCGCGAGTAGGGGGCCGGGCCCGGGACCCCGCCCAGGCAGCTAGCCGGGTCCCCGGGGCTGGGCGCTGCTGGCGGAGCCGACGGGGCGGAGAGGAGGGCGGCGGGAGGAGGAGAAGGGGGCTGGTCAAGGGAAGTGCGACGTGTCTGCGGAGCCTTTTTATACCTCCTTCCCGGGAGTCGAGCAGCAGCCGCCGCCACCATCACCGCCGCCATCCGTGCGACCTTCGGTCTCTGGTCCCAGAACCCGTGCTCCGCCACAGCCAGCCAGAATGTCTGGGGTCAAGAAACAGAGGACGGTAGGCTTCCAGTCTCCTGCCTCCCCGCCCCCTCCTACCGTGCTGCACCCACCCCTGGGCACTGGGGTCCCACCCTACTCGGGAGGAGGCAGCCACCGCAGCGCGGAGGCTCGGGCGCCGGGAAGAGGAGGAGGAAGAGAAAGGCGCGGAGGAGGAAAAGCAGGAGGGCGAGGTGGGGTCCGGGATTCCCGGAGCAGTCCTCATCAGGCAGCTCCTTTCCTCGCAGCGCCTCTCAGAACCGCGCTTGTTGGTGATAGCGCCTGAGAGAGACCTCCCGAGTTTGCAGAGTGGGTCTGGATCTAGACAGGACCAAAGATAGGAAATTCCCTTTCTTCCCCTTACAGCGCTCCCAGACCCGCCTTTTCTTCGATGGGACCTCTGCGCAAGCAGAGTGGGTGGTGGGCTGAGCTGACTCCGGTTCTGCCAGGTCTGATCGCTGAGCACACGTCAGCGACAGTCACTGAGGTTTTAACCACGGAACTTTCTTGGAGTGGACTTTAATGACAGACTTTCATAGAAGAAACTGCAATTATCTAGGCTAACTGGAGGAAATTGCACTTATATACAGGCAGGACTTAACCCTCTAGCATACTTCTGTTCCCTGTTGACATTGAGTGACATCTAAAGTTTAGTATTGAGAATTAGCACCTCGATTTGGTGGAGCAAGATAAGGGGACTTTTGGGGGGGCGGGTGTGCAGTTTTCTCCAGAATCAGTCTGAGCTCTTCCTTTTCATTGCAAAATATGAAGGCTTATTAAAGAGAAAAAACGTTCCTTTCCTATATAGTAACACAGACTCTTACAAATTTTGCATCCTTAAAAATAGCAGCAGTTCTGTCAGTTATACCCCAATAAAGGTGGGGAAAATGACAGCAACAATCGTAGACTCTAAGAGTTGGAAGGACAGCTTTTGGGTCACCCCAGATGTGGTCTACAAGCCTTGATTAAAATCCTGCCCAGCAGTCTGGCTGTGGACATTCATCTTTAACCACAACACTGCAAGCCTCAGATGATTGTGGTGACCACTAAATAGGTAGTCCTCTCTCAAAGAGTTAAACGTATGTTTGGCACATTGCAGATGTTTAATAAATGTTTACTATTTTTCTTATACAATGCTGAAATATCTTTGAGGTGTACAGTACTTATGGTGGGCTGGACAGGATGTGAAAAAATTGCAGGGGGAAGGAGAGTAGAGGGACCATGCAGGTACTAGAAGTGTGACTTGAGCAGCAAGGGAAAAGGGTGGGGACTCTATGGCCTCAGGGAACCACACTGGCCCAAGAGGAAAGGTGGCATCAGTTTGGGGTGGGGCAATAGTTGGGGTTCATCTGCCTCTTATAGGAGTAATTTTTAAAGGAGAGAGACTCAGTATCATAATTTTCTTGTAAAATATTAAGTGATGATTACTTGTTTTCCTATTTTATATGATTAATTTCTGTAAGATTCTAAGGGGTGACATCTAAATGACAAGCTGCTGTAGCAATTACTTATTCTATAATGGGGTTTTATTCTTGCCTCCCTGCTTACATCAAGAATGCCTTCTAGTTCCAATGTGGGGCTTCGTCAAGCACTAGTCAGAAAGGGATGAGGGTTCTCTCTTCTTCATGCCTCCAGTTAGCAAAAGCTTGTAGAAGTGGACAGTTGAGGACAGGGGTTTTACAAATCCATCCTGGGGACTCTGCACAGTCACAAGTGAGAAAATTGAGGAATGGGGTTTGGTTTTTCTATTTACACATTTTGAACCTTCTGTTTTTTTGTGGGGGCTGTAGGATTACATTAACACCTGAAATACCTAACTGAAACAGGACTTCTGAATTTTTATTTAACCTAAAAACAGTTATAATCCAGTTACCAATCCAAGTTCCCAAAAAGGGCCAGATGGGTACTATTGGTACTATTTACAGCAAGCCCATGTGCAAATACACATGGAATCTCTCAAACTTTAAATGTTAACTCAGAATGTGTTTTAGCTCAGAGCCACATGCAAGACATGAGTTTCTAGATGAGGAACCAAGACTTTCTAGAGGCCGTTGACCCATACACACTGAAGTTCACCTCAGAAAACTGAGTATTATCTCCAGGGGAGGAGTAACACCAGGGATGTAGACACGATTTAAATTCAGGCCTGTCCAATATCGACACTCCTGTTCCTACCCCTTCTATACCTCTGTTTCAGGTTGTAACCTGTCTGGCCTATTGTTTCCTCATCTATGAAATGGGACAAGAATGATTTTGATCATTATTATTACACTGTACTGTTGTGGTTTAGCATACCCAGGAAGAAAGCACACATCATTAAAGAAAGAGAGAGAAAGCAAGCAAGCACAGGTTATACTGTCTGAAGGCTCAGTAAATGACAACCATCCAAATACTTAATACAGGAAAACAAATGCAGAAATATAGACGTGACAATTTGAATCCTTGTTGTGAAAGCTTGAATAGAAGATTGACTATTAGTGTAGACACAACTAAGTAACCCAAATACTGTATTAGCACGTTTTTGGCTAAGAAAGGCAATCTGCATATAAGTAAATATTGATCTAACTTCCCTCCACCCTTCCTGTCCTTTCAGCTGTTTCCACATCTACCTTAAAATCAATGTTATCCAGTTAATGCTGTTATTCCCAATAATAGACCATCTGTTTGGACTTTACTATAAAGATAAATATAGTTAACATTGAGCTTTACATCTCTTTGAGATAGTTTTCTTTGTCTTTGTCACTTTTCTGTTAATACATGTCACTCCATGGTTTGCGTAGGGTATAATTAGGCTTAACTCCACCATGGAGCCTTTAAGGAATGAGAATCTGAGAAAAGAGTCAATGATGTCAGTCTCAGTCCTAAGAGATTACTGTTTATCTCAAGATCTATCACTAAATAGTAATGGGCATACTTTAGTCTTTGTATTAGGAGAACTCAGAAAGTAAAGATAAATAAGCATCAATGTAATGGTGACTTAATTGACCTTTTAGACCCTGGAAGATCTGTTCATATGACTGTTAGCACAGCATATATGTTCAGCATCTGCCAAAGAGCCTGGCATAGAGTAGGTGTGCAATAAATATTTGTTGAATAAATGGCTACAGAATTCTTAAAGCAATAAATTAGTTCTCAGGATCTATATTTTTATTACATTTCTCACTCTCCCCTTTTATTGATCAGTTCTTCTGTGCTTGATTATTTTGGGGTATTTGTCATTACTGATGAAAAATTACTTGCAAATATTCTTTTGAGGCTTAGGATGAATTGCCTTTTTTCAGGGAGGATGAGTTACTTGGTGTAGTTCTGCCTTGTGCCTGGCAGCTCTCCTACTCTGGGACCACTTAAATTTAACATTTTTTTTTTTATCACCCAGTTGATGTGAATCTAGGTTGTAGTTTTGCACGTAGGACTAAGCTTGTGGATAGGACTTCTCAGGGAGCCCCCTCCCACACCTCACATAGGGTTGACATGCCAAGGCAGCTATCCCTGGGGAGAGGGGTTCCAGAGTGGAATGAGGCTTCATTCTGCTTCCTCTTATTTTCAGGTTTTGGCTCTTAGGAGCCCAGAATAATGTGAGGACCTTTTATTCTCCCTACTTATGTGGATCCGGGGCTTTAATTTCTGTTCCACCCTTACCAGTGAGGCTGTTGAAATCAATTTAAAAAGTCTCTCAAGGGCTGGGGTTGTGTGGCTCAGTGGCAGAGCGCTTGCCTCACACAAGTGAGCACTGGGTTCGATCCTCAGCACCACATAAAAACAAACAAAAAAAAGGTATTGTGTCTATGTATGACTGAAGAAAAAAGATTCTTATCAGCAAATATGTCCTGATAAGGAGGAAAGTATCTCCCTGTAAAAATAAATAAATAAAATAAAATAAACACCAGAAAAATAAAGAAAGTATCTCCCGGCTCTAAGTTTCTGCTTTCCCCCAGATTTCAACCTGGCAGTTTCTATTCATCAACTGTTTTCTTTTAGTTCTATTATTTTATATTATAACTAGCATTTTTAGTTTTTGTGTCCTCCCCCTTGTGGAAGGAGGAGTCTTGAATGACCTAACCCATCACAGCTAGAAACCAACCTCTTCCTCATCTGAATTCCTATATATCATTAACGTTTCATATCTTACCTGTACTTTACCATATCTGTGTCATTCTTACAAAGGAAGTGCTTTAGTGAACAAATGAACTTGAGTCAGCTAATCAGAAATGTGTAATTCAATCCCTTTCCCTTACAAAGTGCTCCAGAAGTGGGGGTAGTGTGTGTGCTCCCCTTATCTTGGTGGCCTCTGCCTGTTCCACATCCTTGGAGAAGGTCCACATCCTTTGCCCTGTTTGACCTTCAGTATTGATCTAGCCCAGGTGCTTTCTTAACTGAAAGGCCCCTTCCATTTTAGCCACTCTCTCTTTCATTCTTTCCTGGGTATCCTGAGGTTATTGTGTTGCTCCAACAAACTTCTGAGGCCCTGGGAAAATCTTGATGGGTCTGGTTAAGGGCCTTGATATTTCCTCACTACTCTCAGCAGTGTGGGAACGGCTGGCCTCCTGCTTTGACATGCTGGAACACTGAAAATCCCTGGGGGATGCTGAAGTCCACGTAGGTCTCTTCTCCTCTGAGGTCAGAAACACACCCAATGCCCTCACCTTTTGGAGCCCCCAAAGCTATTCGGCTTCCATCTTCCCCAAGCCCAACACTCCTTCTTTCAGATTTACCCTGGCCTCTAAACTCCTTTTGCTGCTCTTCTAACAAAAATTAAATAAAGTTTTCCCGGAAGGCTAATGGGTTTATTGCAAGCCTTGAATTTGTTATATATTTGGTTTTATTTTTCTTTCCTGCTTTTTAAAAAAAAATATTTATTTTTTAGCTTTAGGTCGACACAATACCTTTATTTTATTTTTATGTGGTGCTGAGGATCGAACCCAGTGCCTCATGCATGCCAGGCGAGTGTGTTACCATTTGAACCATATCCCCAGCCCTTCTTTCCTGCTTTTGATATTCATATATTGTTTTCAGTTTAGAATA